TCAATGAATGGATTCAGCTATTATCGAATGCTTCAGTTTCGATTCCACATTTAATCACCTGCAAACACTGTTTCTTTTCTGCTATTCTAGCACAAACATTATCTCTTAGGAATATGAATACTTAAGAGTTTTTGAAGCCTTGTGTATCTCTATGATGTTTAGGGCCCTAGGAACAAATAATTTCTCTTAGGGTCTAATTTAGTACTTTTAAAATTATTCTATTGATTGGACTCCTATTGTCTACAATAGATAAAATATGTAATAGGTAGGGGGTAGTGTATAGCCAAAAAAATAACTTGGAAAGTTATTAAATTAAAACTGCTCTATCTTATAATCATATGGAGGCATTCTGAAAACAGCAGAGCAGAAAGGCAAAAAAACTACTGGATCCTGGTGACGTTATTAAATTATAGAATTACCCAACTCTAGAACTCCTCTACTTTGGGATTTCTTATGTGAGATTTAAAAAAAAAAACCTTATAGTTTCAGCTATTTTTGGTTGGGGATTATGTAACTTGCAACTAACTGATTTCTAACTGATACGGAGTCCTCAGTATAGTAAAGGAGAAGGATAGTTAAACACATCAAAAATCAAAACTAAAATACATCCATTAAAAAAAAACACTCATAGAAGGACAGAGGGTAAAGAAAATTTTTTATCTTCCATGAGAGATTTTGGAAAGAATCTTTAGTGCAGGCTGTATTCAAACTATGTTTTCAAAAATAAGTGGAAATTTATCAAAAAAAATGATCTGGGGAAAAATAGAAGAAATAGCCAAGGCGGGGGGCAGAGTTGGGAGGAACTGTTGTGAATAGTGGAAGACAGGAGAGCACTGTCTGTGTGTGTGTCTGGGTGTGTGCACATACACGTGTGAGGGAGAAAAAGAAGAGAGGGAGAGAGACACACTTGGGGCAGGGGGAGGGGGAAACTGGGCAGGTATAGAAAGAAATTAAAGGGTTAAAGAGCAGGTTTTGAAGGAGCTTGTTTCCAGACCCAGAAACTTCCATATTAACCTGAACATAGAAAGGAGCCAACAGAAGATCAGCATGATCTGTTTCGGTGTTGTCTTTTCTTACACTGCTCTGCTAGCGTTTTGGAGGATGCAATATAGGGGAACACAGGGAATCCGCGAGGGGTGGAGGTGGGGAGGGAAGCTGGAACTGTATGTAATGTGGGTGACTTGAGGGTAGAGCTAAAAATCAAAGTTGGGAGATAGACTTAGACAGACACTGAAACAGCCATGCCTTACACTCTAACTGGATGTTTCACTACTTTTCATGTTTCCCCAGGCATATGGCTTTCTTTTGGTCCCTTAAAGTTAGAAATGTCCTTCCTCCCCAGTCCAGTACCCATTCTGCTCCCTCATCTGGAAGGCTCTCCCAGGCCTCTTCACCTGGGCAAACACCGCCCACCCTTCAGGTCTCATTTATAAAACCACGTCTTTAGGAAAACTGACCTGACCCTCCAGATGGGTCAGCTCATCCTATTGTGTGCTGTTCTCTCAAAGCAATCTAATACTTTTCTGTACCAGTCATTATCTAAATTGTATTTAATTAAAGTTTCACGAAGTACCTGTTTGACATGCAGTTTTTCCACCAGACTGAGTATTAGCAAAAGAACCACATCTGTTTAGTAATCTCCCGTATTCTGGCCACATCACGGTCACCCAAGAAGTAGCTTTTGAATATATGAATGACATACCTTTTACTAGCTTGAAAAGAGAGAGAGTGTGTACAATGATTGTGGCAAAAATACTTTTTTATGAAGGGATATGCTTTAAATCAGGTGTCCTTAATCTTTTGGGATTTTGCAGACTCTTTAATAATTTTATAAAAGCAATGGACTCTAATTTAAATATCAATGGACATCATTTTAAGTAACCGTGCTTTAAAGGTTACTTTTAGAAAGTTACAAAAAATTTTTTTTCTATTCTTTTAAATAATGTCAATCATCTTCTTTTAGTTAGCCTAGAAGCTGGTTGTGAGAAGTTAAAGGGATGAAAGAGTCATTGTTCATGTCTTTAAAAAGTTCATCATCTCATTTATTGGTCAAGACTCTTGGAAATTAAATTAAGTCAACAAAAGAAGATAGCAATTTCAGTCACTTCATTTATCTCCATGGTCCTTACTGCAAGGGAGATACGGCCCATGGTTTGATCGCCACAGAGTGCACTGTGTGTGTGGGCTTTGGCAGAAATCATCCCTCCCAAAATTGCTCTTTGCTGCTTATCATTTCCCATTGTTTTGGCTCTTTACCACCCTTCTCCTGGTCTGTAGTTTCCAATGGTACAGGCTTTGTGCACCTCATATGTGTCCTGTCTCTAATAAACCACTGTCCCTCACTGTCTTTTGTCAGTTTCCTTAATTCCATTGTTTATTTTTTTCTTCTAATTTTTTAAATTGTATTGGGTGGGAGAGTAAATCTGATCATTGTTATTCAATCTTGGTTAGAAATAAAATTCATCTCATTCTACTTTAAATAATTAAATCAAATGTTGCATTTAACAGTACCTACCAATCAGCTAAAATATATTAAGTGATTATATTTACTTATATATAATAACATCTATTATATAAAAATAAGTATATTAAATAATAAATAAATCTATATTTAAATATATAATATATGTTGCATTATAATATATATAAATTAAGTGTATAATACATATATATATCTTTTCATTTATATTTATCTTCAGCAGGAGGATACTAGTTGTAAGCCCAGAATCAAAGCTATTTTTCTATGTTAGCCACCTTCACCATCCCTGATTATTCTTCTGGATCTTTCCACTTCTAAGGAAAGAACTTTCTACACTACCTATTCCAATTTACTCATGTTGTATTTTAAAAATATCCACAAACCATATAAATATAAAAATCACAATTAGAGGAAAAACACATATGCGGTATGTGTCCTATACCTTCTCCAACAGAACATGGAAATGGGTAAGATGTCATTTATTCTGAAGGTTTATTTGACAATATACTACTGGGATTCTAGACTTACTCATTTACAAACAGTTTCTTTAATAGAGGTTTTCATGTTTAAGATGGATTCTCAGTACTATTCTAAAGGTTTATGCTTTGGGACTTTTCATCAGAAAAGACAAAAGAGAGAATTGGATGTTCTATTGATGAAATGTTAAATTGTTTTTCCTTGGAGAGAATAATTGAATATACTCAAGTGTTAGGAAAATTGTTCTCTAGTACATTTCTAAGTTACTAGACGGAGTAGTTGTTTAGTGTCCTGTGGTTATTGAAACAAATTACAAAAAACATGGTGACTTAAAATAACAAAACTTAGGTCTCTCAGATGTCTGAAACCTGGCCCGACCACACTCTCTCTGGGGTTTTAAGGGAAATCTGTTCCTTGCCTTTTTCAGCAGCTGGTGTCTACATGAACATTCCTGGGCTTGTGGCCATATCATCTCTGTCTCTGTCTCTGTCTCTGTCTTCATATTGTCTTCTCTTCTGTGTGTCTGTGTGAAATCTCCCTCTGCTTCTATCTTTTTAGGACACTCACCAAAAACCAAACCCTGCTGGACCTTAATCTAGGAATTTTTAGCCTCAGGATTTAGTGAAAAATAAATTTTTTGCTGCTTAAGCCACCCAGTCCGTGGTATTTTGTTATGGCAGCCTGAGCTGACTAACCCACAAAGTGATTTTGTCTTCCCAAGATCTTTAATCTTATCCATATTTTACTATATAATATTCACTTTTTTTTTTTGCTGGACATTCCATATATTTGAGAGGGGCCATCATCATGCACCATATAGCCTAATACAGCAGTCAGTCTGGTTTTGGTTTATTTTTCTTAAGAAACACAGTTTATTTTCCATCTATAATTCAAAAGCCCAGGATTTGGGTGACAATGTAGGAGCTGTTTTAGTCACCCAAGGTGCTTTATTTTCTATTATTTCTCTGATATGCTATAAGCTTTCTTAATTTTTCTTAAATTTAGTATTCCATTATTTTCATTAAGTATCATTGGCTTTATTTTTATAAAAGTATTATTTTTGGAAGAATGTTCCCCTTCTAAGGAATGTAACTGCTTGTAGAAAACCAGGTCAGTGCTTTGTAGAAAGCAGCACAGAGAAAACTGGAGTGGGTTTGAATACTTTGACCAGACCACATCCTAGGCTTCCCCGGCCCTACTGGCTGGAATCATCTTTTCTTCCTCTCCTGTGATCCACTGAGATCCAAGTTTCATATCCAAACACACGAGTGTTCTCTAGTTTAGTTTTCGTTCATCCTACAGTAGCGCCCCCACAGACTGATGTAATGGCATATTCAAATCAGCTCTGTCCGAGAAGCACGCAGTTGGGCGGATAATCTTAGACAACCTGTAGGGATACTTAGATATATTACTATGGCATACTCTTTCCTGGCCAGAACCTAAAGTGTCTTTTCTTAAATTTAGCATTCCTGAAAAGATGAATTTTAGAATAATATTTTGTGTTTCCAGACAAAACCACTTAGTGAAGTAGTAGAGTGAATATAGCTCTCTTTGTAAATTACAGTGAGATGTTAGAAAACATCTTATTTCTTATTAACAAAACCAGGTGTGTACTTATTATTTCCCATATATATGAGGGGCTAAAATAAAGAGAAAAGATAGGATTCCTGCTTTTTGAGGAACCAAGAGCCCCAAAATAAAAGCTTATTATGCAAAAAATACATATTTCCACATTAACTGACTATACTTCAATAAAAAAGAATGCAAATTTAAAAATTGTTTACTTTTAAAAAAGAAATAAATATTTCCAGTGGGAAAATAGTCCCACTGGACATCACTAACACAAAACTGAGTAGAAATTATTTTATTTAATTTCATAGTTAAAAATATTTAAGTTACAATTTTTAACGTTGCTAATATATACAAATTTTCAGTTTATTCTTTTTCTTTGAATATGATGCTGCCATTGTATCTTATTTTACGGTAGTCCTAGGATCTCGTTGTTACACCTATTTCTCTATCCCTTTTCTCTCTCTCTTTCAAGCCTCAACAAATCACTACTGAAAGTTACGAGGGCTCTCAAGTTGAGACTGCAAAGGAGGAAAATCCGAAGATCCTTGAGTGCAATTCTCAAATTGTAAGATTAATTTAAAATATTTTATCAACATTCAGCGTGAAAACAAGGACATAAGCATTTTAACAACCCTAGTTCATGCCACCATGAAGCTTTCTATTTATATGTAATACCTACTATCTAAACATTGTACTTTTAAATTTGAAAAAGCAGATGTTCTTTGGATGTGGCAGGTAGAATTGCTCTATTAGGAGATGTAATCAGATGATTAGGAGGACTATGAACTTGACTTGTCAGAGAGGTAAGGGGGTCGTTCCCACAATCACATAACAGAAAGCTGATAAAATATTAAAAACAAACACAAACAAACAGAACCCCAAACAAAGAGTGTGATTCAATAGTATTCTCCCCATAAAGCAAATAAACCCAGCATTATAGAGGAATGGAGGTTTTTACCCTTCAGATGATAGTGCTCTCTGCTTTTTTTCAGTTGTAATAAGTGTAATGCAAATTTGATTCTGGAACTTCCCTTGGCACAATTACAGATTCATCGTGTCTGGACTTGAGAAACAGCAATTGACAAAGGTTGTCATTTCGATTCAAAGTTAGGCTTTAATCTACCTGACAAAATGGAAAGCGTCTGGTGAAACTACTCATGATTGGAAAGAAATTGGGTGATAGCAAAGGAAACGGAGCAGAATAGAAACATAAGTTAACCAAGTTGATCTCTTTTTCCTCTTTTGGCTGCCAAAGTGAACTTAGAAATATAACTTTTTCAACAATTTGCCTTCACATCTTTGTATATTGAAACATGTACCAATACCATACAATTTAGAATATAGTAAGGGTAATGAGAAGTAGAAATAAAATATCCTGCAATTTATTTCCAAGGGAGGAAGAAATCAAAAAGGTTTGCGGCAAGAAGGAACATTGTTTGCTATAGTTTGAAGAATAGATAGGTCTCTGACAGTGTGAGCAAATCTTAAAGAGACAAGAAAACATCAGAATAACAGGAGTGGAGAATAGAGTACAGAAAGTGGTGGGATCCGTGCCTAAGGAGATAATTTGGGATTTAAGTAGGAGGGGCACTGGATTCCCAAACAAAGGAGTTTGGTGTGAATTAGGGATATATTTAAGGTTTTCAAAAGTTTGTGTCCAATTAAGTGATAAGACCATGGGTTAATTTTAAGAAAAGTGCTCTTGTTTCTTGATATAGTTTCTTAAAACTATGAAAAAATTGTTTTGCAGTGTATACATAAATCATTAGGTTATACACATAAAACTAATACAATGTTACATGTCAATTACCTCTCAATGAAAAAATAACAAATAAATAATCTTGGAAGCTTCTGGCCTGCACCATTATGGGTAATGCTCAGGTTTGATCCTAAAAGGTCCTGCTCTGTGCCCTTGGATTAGGATTATTCATCCAGTTGTCTTTTTCCTGCCCTTGTGCTGGTGTATCAGTGCCTTGAGCAAATCATTCATGTATGAGGTGGCCAAGACATCTGAAAGGACAAAGAACTGGGACTTCATCAAGCTTAACAAACAAACAAATGTTCCCATCGAAGGCAAACGTGAAAAGTTCTGTGTGTTTTTCTAAGATTCCCCAAAGCAACATTTTGGTCTGTTTTTCTTGTCAAGAGCAAGGCCCGCTCAAAACCATAGTTTTTTTGTTGTTTGTTCCATTCTCTTTCTACCTTTGATGTCCTTCCTTGTCACTAGCAGCTCCTCTCCCTCCAGTAAGTCCCATAAGCAGCCACTTCCCTGGGGGAGGCCCCGGTCTGGGTCCCTGCAGAAAGCTGCCACCACTTGTGCTGGCATGAATGCTCTCCCTCTGACCTGACCTCCGTCCTGTGGACGTTAGCCTGCAGTCTCTGCTTCCGGGAAGATACGCGTTCTAGTGCGGAGCCTGTTCGGTCTTCGTGGCTGCAGGCTCAGTTCCGTTTAAAGGCCAAGAGAGTCATATAAAGGAGTGAAACAAGCCCAGTGCGAGCAGTGGGAACTAGTGGGGCTGGTGTGAACATCAGATTTCCAGTTACAGATCAGGAGCTCTTAGCCCCATCCTCACTATAGTATCACGTGGAGAGTTTTCATAAAATACTGATGACCAGGACCAAGATCAGAAAAATAGGCTCAGCGTCTTGGTACGTGGGGGCTAGACATTAGCTATGTTTATCCTTCTAATTTCTCCAGGTGATTCTAATGTGCAGGCCAGTTTTACTAACAATATATTTTACATGTACGTGATTATTAAAATCATCTGAGGGGCTTTAAAAATTAAGATTTTTGAGAAATTCTTTAGTAAATTCTAAATAAATAGGACTAAGGGTTACCTGTATTTTTTTGTTGTGGACCTGACAACACTCTTCCCAACCCCAGTGATTCTGAGGCAGATGTCTGTGAGCCTTAATTTGAAAAACATTGATTTAGATAAGACATAATCCCTTTAGTATGTTGTTCAGTAATAGTATTTCTGCTTCTCACACTC